GCATGACGGGCAGCAGCATCGCGCGTGGCCCACTGTGAGCGAACAGTGCTGTCAGCATCAGTAGGCGGGGCATGAGAGGCACCAGAGATGAGATCGAACAGGGAGAGTCCGTCTGCCCTATCGCACTGTAGGAAAAGCTGCAAGTCATCGACCCAGACCTCGAAGTCAACAGCACGACCCTCAGCATCAAAGGTAAGGACACTGGGGGTAGCCATGACTGCACTGGTCTAGCAGGGAGGGCTCTCACCAGTCCGGGTGGGTAGGGCCGGGGCGCGCCGGGAGGAACAGGGCTGCAACAGCAGTGGTAGCGGCTCGGCAGTGGCAGTGGCGGCTCGACGGCGGCTTCGGCGGCTTGGCGGCTCGGCTGCAGGCGGCTCGGCTGCTCGGCGGCTAGGCTGCTGGGCGGCTCGGCGGTTCGGCTGTTGGGCGGCTCAGCGGCTCAGCTGCTTGGCGGCTCGGCGGTTTGGCGGTGAAGGGGTCAGGGAGGGGCCGAAAGGGGGGCGGTGACGGGGCCGCAAGGGGCGGCGACGGGGCCGCTAAGGGCGGCGGCGAGGCCAGGAAGGGCCGCGACAGGGGTTGCTAGGGGTGGCGACGGGGCCGCGAAGGGCGGCGACGGGGCCGCGAAGGGGCCGCGAGGGGCCTGGGAGGGCGGCGACGGGGCCGCTAGGGGCGGCGACGGGGCCGCGAAGGGGCCGCGAGGGGCCTGGAAGGGCGGCGACGGGGCCGCTAGGGGCGGCGACGGGGCCGCGAAGGGGCCGCGAGGGGCCTGGAAGGGCGGCGACGGGGCCGCTAGGGGCGGCGACGGGGCCGCGAAGGGGCCGCGAGGGGCCTGGAAGGGCGGCAACGGGGCCGCTAGGGGCGGCGACGGGGCCGCGAAGGGGCCTTGAGGGGCCTAGAAGGGCGGCGATGGGGCCGATAGGGGTGGCGACGGGGCCGCTAAGGGTGGCGCGAGGGGCCGTGAGAGGGGCCTCTAGGAGGCTTCGACAAGAGGGCGGCCCACGGGGCGCGCTTCGGGCAGGGGCGACTCGCGCTCCGGTCAGAAAAAAAAGTCGATTTTCAGTGGTGGGCCCTAGGAAGTTCCCACTAGGGAACCTGCTCTATACCATGTGAGAATTGTGGAATGAATGAACTAGGAAAGAGGTGGGTACAAGTAGGAAAACCTAGAAATGTTGTACCCCATATTGTCTACCCCACTACAGCCTACACAGACTATAGCATATAAGTTTGACATTAACAATCGTATTTATTTTAGCTGTTATGCTCAAGCTTTTTCTAATGACATAATTTATTGGATTTCTACTACTGGTTATATTTTACATGAAAATATGAAACTAAGTAAATGAACTACGTTGTGCGTTCCCCAACGGCTCCTGGCACAACCAAACGTGCACATCATTCAACATTGAAGAATCAAAACACACTGCTTGGATGTAACTTTGGTGCGCGAATTGAATCACGAGTGTTCTGTTTTGTTGAGATCTGTGCATTACGATAAAACATTTATTCGTGACTGTTTGTGATTCCACGAAATTCCAGCGGGTGGTCGAATTTCGGTTAGGAAGGGCGGGACAATCGCGCGGAAAGGGCACGCGCAAGCGCGGTCTATCCAATTATTGGAAACGGCCACGTGGCGAGGTCGGAGTAATTTAGGTCGATGCAGTTGAGAGAAACAAGAGATCCGCCGATGCGTGTCATTTCGCCCAATTTTCTGTTCAGCATGCTTCCCAACTGCTTTCTTACGGGTCTACTCCAATGTTTTCCGTGATTCTTAGGGGGTGTCCAGCTCATACATTTACTGTTCGTAAGCCTGCTCAGTTACCACATTCTTTGTTGTAACACTGTATTGAACGTATCTTGCGGACACAATCAGCTTTCGTTCACAAAACGGCACGCCCCTTGCACGTACCTCGAGTCGTCTGACTCACGTACTGGAATCAGCAGGGACGCGAACAAGGGTACAGCACCGCGTCCTGGCCACTACAGTAGTGTGTCAGAATCCCATCCACTATACCATTGGGATAAAAGGGCTTGTTTCAGTAGCGGGTCAGTACGCCCATAACCCCCCAGACGAACGTGCCTGTAACCCTCTCCAGGATCAATCGGGCATCCACAGTGCAGATCTACTAACACCCCCCCACACTGGGAGGCCCAGGACTAAGCACAGCGGCAACGGCCTATATGTGCATACACCGGGAATCGAACCCGAGACCGCTCTGATACCATGTCAGAATCCCAACCATTAGACCATTGGTATAAAAGGGCTTGTTTCAGTAGCGGGTCAGTGCGCCCATAACCCCCCAGGCGAACGCGCTTGTAACCCTCTCCAGGATCAATCGGGCATCCACAGTGCAGATCTACTGACATAGTGCCCCCTGTATCGCTTGCACAATTTCGCCAGTAGCTCGCTACACTTGCCGACACCCCCCGTGCTTGCCCAAAAATTCATTGGTTATGATTGACGAGGGAAACTGTTACCTCGTTTCGAACGCGAGCAGTGTTGATTCGTGTGGCGGAGAACGTGTCCGCGCTCCTGAAATTACAGGTAGGTGGGACTCAACTCAGGGGGTGTCCAGCTCGTACATTTACTGTTCGTAAGCCCGCTCGGTTACCACATTTTTTGTTGTAACACTGTATTGAACGTGTGCGGACACAATCAGCTTTCGTTCACAAAACGCCACGCCCCCTGCACGTACCTCGAGTCTTCTGACTCACGTTGTTGGAATTAGCGGGGACACGAACAAGGTTACAGCACCGCGTCATGGCCACTACAGTAGTGCCCCATGTATCGCTTGCACAATTTCGCCAGTAGCTCGCTACACTCGCCAACACCCCCCCCGCCCGCACAAAAATTCGTTAGCTATGATTGACGAGGGAAACCTGTTGAGATACTAAGCATAGGTGGGCTTAGGGGCCATAGTTTAGTTAGGTTCTTAGAGATCGAGTTTAGGGTTGAGGAGAGTGTCGAGAAAGTTGGAAAGGAGAAAGAGGGCTTCACTAAAGGTTTGCAAGAACATATAGCAAAGGAAACAAAGAAGGTGCACCACCAAACAAAGTTTATAATAACTACACTAACTACAGCTACAGGCAGTTACAGATATATTCTGACACTCCCCCATAACTGCCTGCAGCAGAAGCTAATGCAGAGACACCCCCTGAAGGGGTACACCAAGCGCAGCAGAAGGAGAGGGCAAGTGAGGAGGGGGGACTATATGAGGAGAGGCTGCTGGCAGGTGAAGCTGCTGGCTCCAAGGCGGCTACTTCCTGGAACCTTCCTCAGTCCTCCAACTCCCCCTTCCACACTCCTTGACAACCCTAGCACCTCTCCCCCAGCTCCCCCACACCCTCACACCCACCCCTCCCCAGCGGCAGCTGCAGCAGTGGGAGAGAAAGGAGGAGGAGGGGAAGGGGATCACACACACCCATCACCCCCATACCCGCCACCCCCATAGCCTCCGTTCCACGGCTGCACGCGCAGCAAGGAGATGAAGAAGGGGGGGGGGGGGGCCAGGGGCGACAGAGCAGAACAGAGCGCACGAGGGCGCGGGTAGCAGCAGGGCGCACGAGGGCGCGGGCAGCAGGAGAGCGCACGAGGGCGCAGACAGACCAGAGCGCACAAGGGCGCGGACAGCAGCAGAGCGGCAACGGGCAGCACAGGCACGGGCAGCAACGGGCGGCAACGGGCAGCACAGGCACGGGCAGCAACGGGCAGCAACAGGCAGCACAGGCTCGGGCAGCAACGGGCGGCAACAGGCAGCACAGGCACGGGCAGCAACGGGCGGCAACGGGCAGCACAGGAACGGGCAGCAACAGGCAACAACAGGCAGCACACGCTCGGGCAGCAACGAGCAGCAACAGGCAGCATAGGCACGGGCAGCAACAGGTGGCAACGGGCAGCACAGGCACGGGCAGCAACAGGCAGCAACGGGCAGCACAGGCACAGGCAGCAACGGGCGGCAACAGGTAGCACAGGCACGGGCAGCAACAGGCAGCACGGGCACGGGCAGCAACAGGCAGCACAGGCACGGGCAGCAACGGGCGGCAACAGGCAGCACAGGCACGGGCAGCAACGGGCGGCAACGGGCAGCACAGGCACGGGCAGCAACGGGCGGCAACGGGCAGCACAGGCACGGGCAGCAACGGGCGGCAACGGGCAGCACAGGCATGGGCAGCAACGGGCAGCAACAGGCAGCAAGGTCAGGGAAGAGGTACGGTAGCATGAGACGGCTCAGTGCAGCAGTGGCAGGGGAGGAGTAGCGCGCAACTACAGCGTCGTACAAGGTCTGAGCACTCTTGTACTGACTAAAGTGCGCACGCTCGGAGGTAGGGAGGTGGCGACGCACAGCAAGACGTGCAGCAGCGTCGCGCGTGGCCCACTGGGAGCGAACAGTGGCGTCAGCATCAGCAGCAGGGGCAGGAGAGGCGCCAGAGGTGAGGTCAAAGAGAGAGAGACCGTCTGCCCTATCGCACTGTAAGAACAGCTGCAGGTCATCTACCCAGACGTCAAAGTCAATGGCTCGACCCTCAGCGTCAAAAGCGAGGACACTAGGGGTAGCCATGACCACAGTAGACTAGCAGTGCAACAGTAGGGTGAGGGCAGTGCAGCAAAAGAGGCACTGTGCTCATCGGACAGGGCAGCTCGGGCGGCTCGGCAGTAGGGCGGCTCGGCAGATCGGCAGCTCGGCAGATCGGCGGCTCGGCTACTGGGCGGCTGGGCGGCTCGGCTGCAGTGCGGCTCGGCGGTCCGGCGGCTCGACTGTACGGCGGCTCGGCTGCTGGGCGGCTCGGCTGCAGGGCGGCTCGGCTGCTGGGCGGCTCGGCTGCAGGGCGGTTCGGCTGCTCTGCTGCTGGGCGGCTCGGCGGCCGGCTGTCCGGCTGCTCGGTTTCCCGGGCGGCTCGGCGGTGCTGCTGCAGGGCGGCGCGGCGGTCGGCTGCTCGGCTGGGTGGGGCGGGTCGGGAAGCCCGGGTGGCGGGCGGCGCTGCAGCAGGTGACGGGGCCGCAGATGAGAGCGGCGGGGCCGCAGATGAGAGCGGCGGGGCCGCAGGTGAGAGCGGGGGGGGGCGCCAGTGAGAGCGGCGGGGCCGCAGGTGAGAGCGGCGGGGCCGCATGTGAAAGCGGTGGGGCCGCAGGTGAGAGCGGCGGGGCCGCAGCAGAGGGCGGCGGGGCCGCAGCAGAGGGCGGCGGGGCCGTAGAGAAGGGCGGCGGGGCCGCAGTTGAGGGCGGCGGGGCCGCAGCAGTTGAGGGCGGCGGGGCCGCTGTTGAGGGCGGCGGGCCGCAGGAGAGGGCGGCGGGGCCGTGTAACGGGACGGCGGAGCCGTGAGAAGGGCGGCGACGGGCCGCTTGGGAAAGGGCGGCGCGACGCGACCGTTAGGGCTGCGCGACGCGGCCATAAGGGCGGCGCGACGGGCCGCTAAGGGCGACGCGACGAGCCGCTAAGGGCGACGCGACGGGCCGCTAAGGGTGATGCGACGGGCCGCTAAGAAGGGCGCGACCCTAGGCGCACTTCGGGCAGGGGCAGGACGCGCCCCGGGCAGGAAAAAAAAGAGGATCGGTGGGCCCTAGGAACAGTTCCCATGAGGGAACCTGCTCGATACCATGATGAGATAATAAGCATAGGTGGGCTTAGGAGGCATAGTTTAGTTAGGTTCTTAGAGATCGAGTTTAGGGTTGAGGAGAGTGTCGAGAAAGTTGGAAAGGAGAAAGAGGGCTTCACTATAGGTTTGCAAGAACATATAGCAAAGGAAACAAAGAAGGTGCACCACCAAACAAAGTTTATAATAACTACACTAACTACAGCTACAGGCAGTTACAGATATATTCTGACAAGACCGTTACCTCGTTTCGAACCCGATCAGAGCACTGTTGATTCGTGTGGCGGAGAACGTGTCCGCGCTCCTGAAATTACAGGTAGGTGGGACTCAACTCACAATGCATTCGTTTATAGGTACAGTGAAAACTTTTGAACCTCGAGACGTGTGTTGGCACTAAAAACCCCGAAATGAACGAACTAGACACGCCCCTAGGGCGGGTCGAGTTTTGCACTCCCGTTTTTTTCGTATTTTTACGTCAATGCACTAGTCAGACTTGACTGTGCCCCAGGGCGAACTCCAAACATTTCCTGTCCAGTTCCGAGTGCACAATTCGGACTTTTGACAAGGTACAGTAACGCTGCGGGATACAGTACCTGGGATGAGGGGATCATTGGCGAAAACACTTAGCGAAAATGGGTACCTTTTGGCGTGTTTGACGCGAAACGAGTTGACGTGAGCCTTCGGACATGTTCTGCACGTCCCCGGGCACGTTTCCGTAATGTCATCATACATGTACAGTCTCGCGTCAAAATGGATTCTGGTACGTTTGTAGTTCTGTTACATGCCCAAATGTGCTAACTATGCTGGAAATTAACCCTAGATGTGCAAAGTTGGACCCGCCCTTAATTTCCCATGATGTCTCTGCTTGAGTCGGACCTGCTCCCACCTGCTAGGGGTCTCTGATTGCCTCGTTTAACACGCTCGCCGTTGCGACTCGCTTCCCGTTGACAGCGGAGCACCTGATGGTGGCCGCGCATGGCTCGCGGTACGTGCTCCGCTCAGTCCTACCCAACCGCTTTCGGCGTTCCATTTTCCAGTATGGGGTCGAACACACCCGTCTCGCTCACATTCGCGGCATCGTGTTGTCGCGGCCCCACTGCCTGTTTCTCCGCCTCTCCTGTTCGCTTCCCTCCCGTGCCTCGCCCCCCAAATCCCCCCCCCCCGCCCCCTTTTCCCCGATCGTTCCGCCCCGCCATTTCCCCGCAGGTCGCCGCGCTCACGGTACCTCCGTAGCGCTCGTCAGCACGCAGGCGCTGCTCGCCCTCACGCTCGCTCTGCTGCTGCTGCGATCCTACATTAGTCGCCAAGGTATCGCACGCTTGTCGCCAAGGTATCGTACGCTCGTCGGCTTTGCATCTCATGCTCGTCGCAGAGATATTGCACACCTTCAGCGCGGCTATGCGTCATGCTGTGCCATTCCCCTCTCGCCACGTCACCTCCCCACCCCCCGCGCCCTTCCGCTTCCATCGTTCCCCGCAGCCGCGCCAAGCCAGGCATGGTCGGCGCTCTTCCCGTGGGGCTGCGCGCTGTCCGCCTCTCAGGCGGGGGTGGCAGCGCGCCTCGTAGTGGGACGCGCGGGGGAGGTGGCCATAGGGGAGGGCGCGGGAGGATGGGGCGACACTGCCGCTGCATCGGGGTCTGTTGACCCCGACGCTGCTGGCGCGGGTGCGTCGGAGCAGCGTGGTGCGGGGTCGAGCGGGGGAGAGGCGCCGGGTGAAGCAGGAGGCGCGGGGAGGCTAGTGGAGCAGCAAGGCCGCCCGTCGATCAAGGAGGAGTCAGCGGGTGCTGCGGGCGGGGGTGATCAACCAGCACACTCTGCAGCTGTAGGTGCTGCAGCCGTTGGGGTTACAGATGGCGCGAGCACAGCAATTGGGGTCCTCGATGGCGCAATCCCAACCGTTGATGCTTCAAACGGCAGCATGTCCGCTGCCAGTAACGGCAGCGAGGCCGGGGTTTCATCAGTGGCGGCGGAGCTAGCAGAGCACGCAGCATGCGAGGGTGCTGCGCTGACAGAGGAAGACGTGCGCGCATGGCAGGCGGAGGAACACGTGGCGTTTGGACACGTGGAGGTGGAGGGGGGCGTGGAGGGGAAAGGGGTGGAGGGCGGGCAAGGGGGCGTGGCGGAGGCGAGGGTGAACGAGGAGGTGTGCTTCACGGTGCGAGGTGAGGTGAGGAGGGTGGTGAGCGGCGAGGGGGAGGGGGTCCAGGGTGAGAGGGGAGAGGGGGGAGGGGGGAGGGGGAGGGGGGAGAGGGGAGAGGGGAGGGGGGAGAGGTCAGACTTGCAGCGATGAGCTTATGGGAGAGGCGGATGGGCTAAGTTGACATTGGGGAGAAACGATGCATGCAGCGTGCGGCATGCTGCATTGGCCATGCCATGTTGTGAGAAGTGGAGCGTAGGCGGCTATGTGTGGCCGGTGGGGGCTATGTGTGGCCAGTGGGGGCTATGTGTGGCCAGTGGGGGCTATGTGTGGCCAGTGGGGGCTATGTGTGGCCAGTGGGGGCTGTGGCGGGACTGGCAAGGTGATCTCATCTCCTTGTGCGGTGGGGTGCTGTCATCTCATCTCCATCGCTTCGCGCCTTTTCAACGTGTCCTGCACCCCCTTGTGCGCCTTTTCAACGTGTCCTGCACCCCCTTGTGCGCCTTTTCAACGTGTCCTGCACCCCCTTGTGCGCCTTTTCAACGTGTCCTGCACCCCCTTGTGCGCCTTTTCAACGTGTCCTGCACCCCCTTGTGCGCCTTTTCAACGTGTCCTGCACCCCCTTGTGCGCCTTTTCAACGTGTCCTGCACCCCCTTGTGCGCCTTTTCAACGTGTCCTGCACCCCCTTGTGCGCCTTTTCAACGTGTCCTGCACCCCCTTGTGCGCCTTTTCAACGTGTCCTGCACCCCCTTGTGCGTGCGGCGTGCAGCACTGGATGCCAACGGGAGGGCATTTGACAACGGATGCAGGTAGGCCGCTGCTGCGAATGAGGTTGCTGTGAATAAGCCACGGCTGCGTGCCTGAATTCCGCCGAGCTCATGTGTCTGTCTCCTTCCCATCGCATCTCTCTGCACCCACCATTTATCTTATCCACTCTCCCCCTTACTATTCGCCCCCTTCCTACCCTTGTAGCCCCTGCCCTCACGCTCCCCTTCCGTGTCGCGTCCTTTCAAAAGCTGAATGTAGTCTCTTCTCGCACCCGCCAGGCAGAGGGCGTTCCTGGTGGCGTTGGTTGCGCTGCAGCGCCGCCAGGGCAGCACCGACGCCCGCACTGATGCTCACAAGGGGGGCAGCGGCAGCGGCAGTAACAGCAGTGGGAGCAGCGCGGATTCGTGGGTGCAGGGCAGCGCGCGCGTGACAGAGGTGCCAGTGGCTGTGAGCGCGCAGGCGAGAGCAGCTGCTGGGCGGGCGGCCGTGCTGCTGGAAGAGTGGGAGCAGGGCGCAGAGAGGGGACAGGGAGGACAGGGGGAGGACGGGGTGAAAGGGGAAAAGGGCGAAGGAGGGGAGGAGGGGGCGGGCGCGGATGTGCGCATGGCAGCACGGGTGACATACCACCCTGGCAACTCGACCCACCAGGTGAACACCCACGCGTCCCTCCCACCCACGCGTCCCTCCCACCCACGCGTCCCTCCCACCCACGCGTCCCTCCCACCCACGCGTCCCTCCCACCCACGCGTCCCTCCCACCCACGTGTCCCTCCCACACACGCGTCCCTCCCACCCACGCGTCCCTCCCACCCACGCGTCCCTTCCCATGGGACGACACCACCCTCGCCGCCATGCAATCACATCCTGACTACTCTTCCGTTTTCCCGTCCACTGCTTTGCCCGCTGCACAGCTCATCGCGCCGCACAGCTCATCGCGCTGCACCTGTTCGCACGCGCCTCTGTGCCTGCTGCGCCTCTCTCCTCCGCTCACCTGCCTTTACTCCCGTGCACCTCGCCCCCCATCAGTCCCGTGCACCTCGCCCCCCATCACTCCCGTGCACCTCGCCCCCCATCACTTGGCCCGCACGCCACCTGCGCTTCCATCTCGCCCGCCCCGCCTCTTCCCGCACTTTCCCTCCCAGTTTCGTCTGCCTTAACCCATCCCCTCCCATTCCATCCCATTCCCTCCCATCCTCTCCCATCCCCTCCCATCGCCTCTCATCGCCTCCCATCCCCTCCCATACCCTCTCCCCCTCCCCACCCCTCCCATCCCTCCCATCCCCCCTCCCCATCCCCTCCCATCCCTCCCATCCCCTCTCCCCCCTCCCAGGTGTGCTACCAGCTGCCGCTGCCAGGCCGCTACGTCCTCTCGCTGCACCTCCTCTTCTCCGCCACCTTCCCCCTCCTGCGCTCCAATGCGCGCACCTCCTTCCTTGGGGGGTTCTCCAAGTGAGGCGCGGGGGGGGGGGGGGGGGGGGGGAAGGGAGCTGGGTGGGGGGGAAGAGGGGGGTTGCGGGGTGTGGGGGGGAGGATGGAAGGGGCACGCCCAAACGGAGGCTAAAAAGGTGAGGCGGAGGGGTGAAGAGGGCCCGGGGGGGGTGAGAGAGTGAAGGGATGTGCAGGTTCCTTGGAGGTTCACACAGCTGCCTTGGAGGGTTGTGAAACAACTGAACTGATTCTGAGAGGCCACACTCGTGGCTCATGCGTGGCTCATGCGTGGCTCATGCGTGGCTCATGCGTGGATGCATGCGTGGGTGCATGCGTGGGTGCATGCGTGGGTGCATGCGTGGCATCCCCAAGTCAACATGCACTCGGTGCCGCTGTATCGCCATCAACTTCCCTTCATTGCTTCCCATTACTCCGATTCTTCCCCCTTTCTTCCCCCTTTCCTCCCCCATTGCCCCCACTGCAGCTACACGGTGGTGCAGTCGCAGGCCATTCAAGCATCAGCGCCGCCCACCTTCTCCCTTCACGCACACAGGTGCCTTCTTGTCACATGCCATGCCATGGGGCGTGCGTGGGACTGCCCAGTGTGTGTGCCGCATGTGTCCTCGCATGTGTCCTCGCATGTGTCCTCGCATGTGTCCTCGCATGTGCTATCTCTTTGCTCTTACACCACGTCCCTCCTCTCTCCCCTCATACATCCCACCGCCCTCGCTCCTCTCCCCTCTCTTCTCATTACTCTCTTATCTCTCAAAGCTCTCCATCTCTCAGCCTACCACCTCTCTTCACTGCTGTCCACCGCACACACTTCTGATCATACCGCTCGGCCGGCCCAAAACCATTTCTCGAAGAGCCTCCTCCAACGCATATCCCCCATCTCATGCCTTCTTCGCGCGTCCCTCAACACCTCATGCCTTCTTCGCGCGTCCCTCAACACCTCATGCCTTCTTCGCGCGTCCCTCAACACCTCATGCCTTCTTCCCTCTATGCCTCTCGCTTCGCCTCCCTCTGTTTACCCTTCCACTAACTCCCTCCACAAAGTCCCTTGCTTGCCGCTCATCCCTGTTCCCCTCACACCGCTCATCCCCGTTCCCCTCACACCGCTCATCCCCGTTCCCCTCACACCGCTCGTCCTCGTTCCCCTCACACCTCTCTCCCGCTCTGCACCCATCCTTCCACAACGCTACCTCTCTCTCTTCTCCTCCTCCCTCTCCCCTATTCCTTCCCCTTTCAGAGCCACCCTCCCTTACTGCACGCCACCGCTCCTCACCGCATCTCACCACTCGGGCTACTGGATGGGCCACCTCTGGCAGCCCCACGCATGTCGCCTGCGCCGCCTCTCCCCCCCCGCCCTGCACGCGTGCTTCAAAGGCCGCTCGCTGCTCTTCCTCGGTGACTCCCAGCTGCGCTACACCTTCGGCTTCCTGCGCCTCCTCCTCCGCTTCCCCTCCCGCGCCGCCTTCCTCACCAAGTTCGCCGCCAAGCCCAAGGTGAGCCGCCAAGCCCAAGGTGAGCCGCCAAGCCCAAGGTGAGCCGCCAAGCCCAAGGTGAGCCGCCAAGCCCAAGGTGAGCCGCCAAGCCCAAGGTGAGCCGCCAAGCCCAAGGTGAGCCGCCAAGCCCAAGGTGAGCCGCCAAGCCCAAGGTGAGCCGCCAAGCCCAAGGTGAGCCGCCAAGCCCAAGGTGAGCCGCCAAGCCCAAGGTGAGCCGCCAAGCCCAAGGTGAGCCGCCAAGCCCAAGGTGAGCCGCCAAGCCCAAGGTGAGCCGCCAAGCCCAAGGTGAGCCGCCAAGCCCAAGGTGAGCCGCCAAGCCCAAGGTGAGCCGCCAAGCCCAAGGTGAGCCGCCAAGCCCAAGGTGAGCCGCCAAGCCCAAGGTGAGCCGCCAAGCCCAAGGTGAGCCGCCAAGCCCAAGGTGAGCCGCCAAGCCCAAGGTGAGCCGCCAAGCCCAAGGTGAGCCGCCAAGCCCAAGGTGAGCCGCCAAGCCCAAGGTGAGCCGCCAAGCCCAAGGTGAGCCGCCAAGCCCAAGGTGAGCCGCCAAGCCCAAGGTGAGCCGCCAAGCCCAAGGTGAGCCGGGGGTTACCGAGCTTGGCCGGGGAGGCAAGTCCAAGCTGAGGAGGCAAAGTCAGGATGAGCCACTACGCGCATCGCAGGGTGGGTATGGTCGCTGCTGTGCGGGCACAACCAGGTTTGCCAAGCCTTGGGGCTCATATGAACTCTTCCTGCGCCTTGCATTTCTGATGAACTCTTCATGCCGCTTGCGCACAGCACAGGTGTGTGGGTTGCTGCTGCTGCTGCTGCTGGATTTGGATTTCTTCCGAATCTCAAGTTTTCTTGTCAGCATCAGGCTCTATGAATATTCCAGAGGCGACCTGTCACAGCTGCACCACATGCAGCAGTCCGGTATCAACAGCTTCTCACAGCAACCTGCTACCCTCCCCCTCCCCCTCTCCTTCATCTCCATCGATCCGATGCCACCTCCTCTTCATCCAATCACCGGTTGCTACTTACACATCTCCACCTCCCCCTCTCCCCCAAACACTCTCATCTCACAGATGTTTTGGCCCAACATGCTGGCCTGTGGCAGTGTGCCACGTGGCAACGGGTCCATCTACCCACCAATCAACAGCAGCACGGGCGAGCTCATCTCAACAGGCGTGTGCCAGCAGCCCGACTCCGCCTTCTTCTTCCACGGGGAGAACTTCAACGGCTATGGCCGCGCGCTGTACGTGCCCACACATCCCATCCCATCCCATCCCATCCCATCCCATCCCATTCCGACCCATTTCATCACATCTCATCCCATCTCATCCCAACCCATCCGATTTCATCCCAACCCATCCTATTCCAACCCATCCCATCCCTTCCTATCCCATCCCACCCCCCCCTCTCCCCTCCCCTACTGTTCTGTGCCATCCCATCCCATCCCATCCCATCCCATCCCACCAGGTACAAGGTGAGGGCAGCGGAGGGCAGGCCAGCAGCGGCCTTCAACCTCACGTACGTGTCGCAGTGCGGCGCCATGAAGCCCGTGTTGCCCGCGTGGATGAGCGACCCCGCCCTCGTGGGGCCAACCCTCGCTCTCTTCAATGCACGCGGCTCGGATGGTAGCGCCGATGCTCCCAATAACAGCACTGGTGGCAGCAGCAGCAGCAGCAGCAGCAACAGTAGCAGCAGTGGGGAGGGCAGCAGCAGCGGCATCAGGGGAGGGGGGCAAGGGGAGTATGACATGGCGCTGGTGGGCACCACTCTGCACGACCTCATTCAGCAACCCACCGCCAAGGCCTTCGGTGCCCTCCTGGGTAGGTGCCCTCCTCAAAAGATATTTTCCTGCGTATGTACCATCCAGGGTACGTGTGTCGCACACAACTCTCCATCCAGCGCGCCTCACAGCATGCGCTATGGTGCTCCATACATGGCCTTACTCTCTCCGCTTTCCTGCTCCCCCCCACCATCCACACTCGCACGTGCTACCGCCGCTGCTGCCAGCCGTGACCATCCCGCTGCCATACTGGCTGTGTTGGCGCCGTGGGCTGAGCTCCTCCCCTTGCTCCCCCCTGCGCCATCTCTGCCCATCCAGACTCTCAACTGCTCCCACCACTACTCACAGTCATGACAAACCCCTCTGCACTGACTATCTTGGTGCAGTGGGCTTACCTCCTCCTCTTCCTCGCCCCTAGGTCATCTCCCCCTCCCTCCCTTATCCAGACTCCCACCTGCTCCCCCGGCTGCTACCAGTCATGAGCAACCGCGCTGCACTGAATGTATCGGGAAAGTGGGCACTGCTTCTCCTCTTGCTCCCCCGCCCCTTCTCCACCTCCCTCCCCCATCCAGACTCCCACCTGTTGGCCCCACTACGAGCGTGACGCTGCTGGGCCTGTGGCCTTACCTCCTCTTTCCCTCCGCTGCACCATTTTTCCCCCATGCAGAGTCCAACCTGCTTTCACCACTACTGGCGGTCATGAGGGACCGCGCAGCCGTGGCACTGCTGGGCCCGTGGGCGGCGAGGGAGGACAGCAAGCCACCGGAGTTCATCCCCGTCAGCAACAACGCGCGTGCCATGGCGTTTGAAGAGGAGCTCCTCAGGTGCGCTGCTGGGTAGACTCACGTGCCTTGAGGTGCCTTCCGGTGCCTTGCCTGCAGATGCCCCGGTCCCACCAGGCTTATCTGTCTGTGCTGGTTCAAATTGTTCATTTCCGCGCATGCTGCTTGCGTGTCCTGTCTGCCATTCATGTCGTTTCAGGCTAGCCCTGTCAAGCCATTTCCCTCCACATACCCCAGTGCACCCACCGCAGTGCATCCCAGTGCGCTCCAGTGCATGCAGCACACTGGGCATGCTGCCACTCACTGACAAGGACGCCATATCTACTTGAACGCACACTCGACCCTCGCAGCGCAACAGCTTTTCCTTTGAAGCATCCTCCACGCTGTCAACACACTACCCCTCCACCCCTCCTCCCCACCCCTCTTCCCCTCCAATCCCTCTCAGGCGGCTACCGTCCACCCAGCCTGGGGCAGCCAGTGCGCTGGGCATGATGGGGCTGACTCTCCCGCGCCCAGACCTGTGTCCCGACAGCACACACTACGCCTGGCCCGTCACCCTCACCATCCTCGACCTCTGGCTCACCCCCCTCTGCGCCCCACACGCTTCACACGCTCCTCAACTCTAGCGAGTAACTCAAGGCCTGGAACTGCTGGTCACGGCTCATGCCCGAAGATGATAACAGTCACTCGTGGGACACCTGCCTATAGTCATGACTCGGGCCACTCCCACACCTCACTCCGTCCCCATTCCCCTTGCATTTGACACCATATCTGAAGTTGCAAGGGGTTCGATTCGAAACACAGCAACCAGGCTTGAGAAGATTGGTCAACTGCGGCTGTCCTTTCTCTGAAACTCTCTGGTTCTAGTTTCAACCAATATGTGCCTTTTATGTCATTTATAAATCGGTAAATCGGTGCGTTCCTAGATGACTAATGGCCTGTTACCGTAGCTCCAGACTGCCATTACTGGGTCTCTCAAGGTCCAATTTCATACGGTATTGATCAAGCCTCCTACCCGAGGTACGCTCAAGGCGTAACGTATTACCCCGGATAAAAGCGCACCTGCGCTTATAATAAAACATGTTTTTTCAGGGGGGTGCGCTTATAATTGAGTAAAAAGTATAAGCGCATGCGCTTATAAAATAACAAATATACAATTTTAAATTACTAGCTTGAAAATGTAGTTCACGTCATTGCGCACCCAATCGAGTCGATTTGAAACAGGGTTGTGGGTGAAAATCTCTCGCTACTTGGCAGGGAAAGATTCCCTGCCAGCACAGACACTCAAAATGAGTCACTAGGCGCTTCTGACAGCACATGCTGACTGGACGCGCATCCTGCAGGGTTTGAACGCGAAGGAAATTCGATTTTCAAGCCATCAGCTTGCTAAAGCGAGATTCATGACAGTAATTTGACAGATTTTCAAATTTAAAACTAACATGCGCTTATAATATATCACGTATTTTAAGGGGGTGCGCTTATAATTGAGGATCGGCCATAAGCGCATTGCTCCAAATAGAAACGCATGCGCTTTTAATAGGCCTGCGGTCATATCTGGGGTGATACAGTAGCTGCCTGTTGTTTGATTGTGTTTCTTTTGCTACCATATGAAACGCAGTTCAATATGAGAAAACTGAAACAAGAATGAATGCACTATGAAAGAGTTGGGTACAAGTACTAACCCTAATTGGGTTGTACCCTATATGGGCTACCCCACTACAGCCTACACAAGCATAAGCTATAATGTTCTGACACACCCCCATAGGCAAAGTGGGGGAGTACAAGGGGTCACAAGACCAGTTAAGCAAAGCAAAGCAAAGCAACCTCAGGGTGGATCACAAAGTCACCACACATTCCGAGCACAAGGTCAAGGCCACAAGGCCAGTTCACATGCAGGAGTACAAATATATATAAAAGGCTAGACAAGCAAGAGCAGGTGTATATATCTATGTAACAATACAAGTAAGATCAAGAGGTGAGCAAGTGAGGCAAGGCAGGCACAAGACCCAGCTGAGTACAGAAGCGCTGATGATCACAAGGCGCAAGTGCCTTGGTGAAGACATCAGCAGTGTTGGCCTCAGAGGCCACGTACGCAAGACGCAGCTGACCACGCTGCTGCAGCTCACGAGCAAGGAAGTAGCGAAGAGCAATGTGCTTCGTTCTGTGCTCCAGTCTCTGCTCTCGACACAAGGCCAGCATGGCCTTGTATACGTACAGCACTGGAGGAGAACGAGGCCGCTCTCCGAGGTCAGTCAGCAGGTAGGTGAGCCAGCAAAGCTCCTGAGCAGCCATGGCCCCGGCGTAGATCTCAGCCTCACAACTGGAGCCGAGAACAGAAGACGAGCGGGTAGCCCGCCACGAAACAGAGCCAGAACCAAGGCTGAAGGTGTAACCCTGTGACGACCGCTGCGTAGCCTGGTCGTCAGCCCAAGAAGCGTCTGCGTGCCCAATGAGGACCACTCGACTCTTCCCTCCAAGCACAAGCCCCATGCCCGACGTACTGCACAAGTAGCGCAACACCCTCTTCGCTGCAGCCATGTGCTCCGATCTGTGTCAACCAGGAGCAACATAGCGTGCGAGAATGCTAAGAGGGTATGCAAGGTCAGGTCGAGTGCAGGTCATCAGGTACATGAGGCAGCCAACAAGCTCTGGGTACGGGCCACTTGACTCTACGGACTCATCCGAAGGCAGAGCTGAGAGCGAGAGGCGAGTAGGCAGAGGAGTGGCCTGAGGCGAGGAGTACGTGAAGCCGAAGCGCTGAAGGACCTGCAGCACCATGTGTGACTGAGTCAGGGTAATGGTGCGGCGTGCTATGTCCCGGGTGATCTGCAAGCCAAGGTAGCTGCGCAGTTCACCCAGGTCTGTGCACGTGTGTCTCTTCTTCAGCTCGGACTTCACGTGGGCGAGTCCAGCAGTGTCAGCTGTGGCAAAGACCAAGTCGTCGACGTACACGAGGATGTAGAACGGCGGCAAAGAAGTGTCGGTGCGCAGAAACAGCGACGGGCCGGCAGTAGAGGGAGCAAACCCAAGAGCCGCAAGTGTAGTCCTCAGTGTGTCGTGCCACTCACGCGGTGCCTGGCGGAGACCGTAGACTGGCCGCCGGAGGCTCCACTGGGTGCCAGGAGAAAACGACCCAGTGAAGCCAGGTGGGCGACGCAGCCAGATCTCCTCGTGCAGGCTGCCCTGCAAGAAAGCCGTGCTGAAGTCAAAAGAGTGCAGCTCGTAGTCACGGTGAGCAGCTATGTGCAGCAGTACCCAAAGAGTGGTCATCTTCGTGGTGGGAGAGAAGGTCTGAAAGTATTCAACTCCCTGCCGCTGACTGAAGCCACAAGCCACGTAGCGCGCCTTGACGACAGGCGGAGAACCCGGCGGCCGCTTCACCCTGAAAATCCACATGCCACTGACGATGTTCGCCCCAGGAGGGGGAACTGCGTCAACGTAGGTGCCTGTGGACTTCCAGGAAGCCATCTCTGCATCCATAGCTGCCTGCCACTGAGAGGAGTAGGGACCCTCTACGGCCTCCGCGTAAGAACGCGGAGTCGGGATGTCAAGTGCATCCGGGTCTCCCTCAGGGGTAAGCAGTACGGACACGAGATGAGGTGAAGCTGCAGCCAGGCACTGGAAATCCTCCTGCCTGTCCTCAAGGACGTCCGTGCCAAGGGCACACTCACCCCCGACGGACGGAGGAAAGACAGACTCAGACTCAGCGACAAGACTAGCAGCGTAGTCTAGACGACAGCGAGCAGCAAAGTCGACGAGCTCAGTAACCAAGGCAGACGCAGCAATGGACCTAAAGGAAGGGTCAGTGACGACAGTAGCAAGGAGACGCGTGACAGTAGGACTGGCAGCACGAAGAGAGTCCGACTCCGGGTCGACAAGAGCAGGAAGAGAGGACTCAAGAGGAGAAGGCAAAGGGGCACGCAGAGGAGTAGTGGACGGACGCAGAGACATCCGGTGCGTGCCAGGGACAGGAGGAGGACGTTGACGCGAACCACGACCACTAGTGCGAGCAGGGCGGACAGGCGACGCAGGGCGAGACGCTGGCTCACGACGCTCAGCAAGACCTCCAGTAGGACCAGTGTAGGGAGAAGGAGCATGCAGTGGGGAGGCCGGCTGTAACTGTGATAGGACAGGCTGTGGACACTCTAAGGGAGGAGCAGGACCAGTAGAAGGCGGGAGACCAAGAACCTGCTGAAGGAGCGGAACGAAGTACGGCCGAGGCCGCGCGGCGACTCCAGACACAGCAGAGACAGCACCAGTACCCCCAGCGGCAGCACCAGCGCAAGGAGCACCTCCAGCTCCTGTACCTCCAGCAGCACCAGTAGTACCCCCAGTAGGTCCGCCTCCAGGACCGACAGCAGCAGCCTCTGACACCATCAGCAGCACCAGCTCCAGTCGCACCCGCAGGCCCAGCAGCTCCAGTACTCCCAGCACGAGCACCTCCGGGACCTGCGGCACCAGGACCCTCAGTAGCTGGAGAACCTCTAGCTCCAACAGCACGCCTCCAGCGCCGGGCAAACCACTCACGCAGCTCCTGTGGAGAGAGGAGCTCCCGTCGAGACGAAGCACCCGGAGAGCGTCCAGGCCCAGCACCGCCAGAAGCCACATGAGTAGGCCCAACTCCCTCAGGCTCCGCACCTCCAGGCTCAGCACCTCTAGGCGTAGCACTCCCAGGCTCAAGACCCCCAGGCGTAGCACCCCCAGGCTCAGCACCCCCAGGCTCAGCACCCCCAATCGCAGCACTCCCGAGCTCAGCACCCCTAGTCGCCGCACCCCTGGGCTCAGAACCCCCAATCGCAGCACCCCCGGGCTCAGCACACCCAGAGTCAGAACCCCCAGGCTCAGCACCCTCAGCAGCACCAGAGTCACCAGTAACCTCGACAAGCTCGACTGCGTCTACCTGGGACAAACCTGAAGGGGCAGGACCCTGAGGGGGGAGAGGGTCTACCAGGGGGGGACCTGGTACAAGGAAGAGCGGCGGCGGGGGGAGGGACGGAGTGCGGTAGGGGAAGAGGTGGTAGTAGGGGACCGACTCGTCAAACGTGACGTCCTGAGAGGACAGAACACTTCGAGAGGTGGGGTGGTAGAACTGCCACCCTGGCGCATCAGGGGGGAAGCCAAGGAAGACATAAGGAGCAGCACGAGGGGACAGCTTGTCCGCAGACAAGTCGCGAACAAACGCCCGAGATCCCCAGACACGGAACGCAGACGCATCGCCAACCTACCCCGTCCACCGCAAAGGTGGGGAGGTCTCCGGCATGGAGACCCTGGGCTGAAGGTTGACCTGATGTGCCGCGTACCGAACCGTAAACGGCCACAGAAAATGGGGGGCAGCCGCATGCATCATGGACGTACGAGCGACATCCATGACCATGCCAATGCGGCGCTCAGCAATCCCATTTTGCTGTGGGGAGTCCGGAAGCGTGAAGGTCTGGCAGATGCCTCGTGCAAGACAGTAGGCTTGCAGAAGGCCAGAGGAGAACTGTCCGCCTCTGTCAGAGTGCAGACGCAAAACAGGAAAGTTCGAGCCGAAGCTCTGCCTGAGCTGGAGACGAGCTGCGCGGATCCAGTCGATCAACACCGCAGTGACATCACCCTTGCTGCGCAAGGGTCAGACTGTGGTGTA